GATTTTTATGTGAATTTACGTCTTTTTTGCAGAAGTTATTAGCGATGTTGTGAGTCCATATTCAACTAAAATATTCTCTTGCTCTAAATTATTTTTTAGCATCTCTAACATTAATCCCTCTCACTTAAATTAATCCTTGATATGATTTGAACGAACATTGACATCATGCTGCAATTTGGTTATGTCTATGTAGTTCTCGTAAACCTAGATTTCAGTTTTTGAGGCCTACTACCCACAAACATTTTCTTCATTAGACGATAATTCATGAACTACAGAGCAGGATTTCTGGAAGCCTCCATTCATCATTATCACCTAATCTTTATGCCTTTATCGACATTTTTCTTCTTCTTATGGCATTCGCAGACCACAGTATTGTTATTCCCAATCCAACTCTACAAAAGCTGAAACTGCATTCCTTTTGTGATCATGCAGCATTGCATGGCTACAATGGAATTTCAACAAACAAAAAGGAGAGTGTTGTTATTGGTGTAGCCGTCTCCGCAAACGATTCATCATTTAAAATTCGGCATTTATAGCAAATTGAAGTATTTCTAAGAACAAATGGGATCTGTCAAATCTACTGACAGATGGATTCATTTGACCGAAATTTTATGATGAGTTACCCTTCATTTAGTTTGCAATCACGATTCTGCAATGTTGCAGCACGTCTTCTATATGAAGGTTTTTTAAATCTCATTTTTACTAATGGTTTTCTAAGAGTACGCATTAAGGCATATCTTCCAAGTTTCTCTACATGAACAAAAATCTCTTTCGAAATATTGAATATCCCGGATTATTGTTTATTTGTTTTATCAAAAAAGTCGAAATTGGGATCCACTGAAGAGAATTTAAACGAAATAGATTTTAAAAATAGATCTTTAAATATAGCCCCTCTTACAGATACAGAGATATATCTTATATAGCTTGTGTTGGTAAGCGTTTTCAAATTGCTTTACGACTCTAAATAATCGTGTTGAGATAGGGTTGATAAGATTATCAAAGAAACTTGTAATTTCGTTGTTAATCCAGAAGCTTCAAATTTTGAGATAAGACGATAAGTTGGGAGTCAACGCATGCAATTCTTCCAAAGCAAGTTAAGAGCATTTCAGAGCAGTCAAGGCTCACCAGAGAAATTGTAGACAACGTACAGTCCATGTGTACAATCTGAAGTCATTTTTCGTATTTTGCTTATCTGCCGATGACCGGTATTTTTGCTGCGCTTTTAGCTGCCCGACTTCGTTTTCTGTTAGTGAGAGGTTTGGGGAAATTTTTTTCGTGTTTCTGCTCTGAAGTTAGCCTCTTTATATTAAGTTGTGGGAGGAGTTCGTGGCATTTTTTTAAAAGTTAGAAGCTGGAGCTTTTCTCAGCGATATGTTATTTTGAAGAAGAAGACTCCTTCTCTTAGAGCCTCATGAGAAGAACTATTTCGGTTTTGCTCAATTGAAAACGATTAAAATAAATGTCAATACGCGAAAAGCCTGTTATTGTTAAAATGCTATTTATTAAGATGGTTGAATGACGCATTTTCCACGATATGACCGTACTGTAAGAATACGATAGATATACGTTAGAGAGGTCAATGCACTTATTGCCTTTAAAGTACTTCACCGAGGTGAATTGATATGCTAATGAAAAAAA